GGCCCGCCTTCCCCTCCACCTCCTTGCCGTACTGTTAAGTCGGGCGTGTTCCCTTACAGGGGGATTTTCGACGAAAAATAAAAAGTATTCAAAAAGTATTCCAAAATTGCCTAAAAATGCTAAACAAATAGTCCCCAGACTATGTTTGGACTATGCTTTGGCTATGTTTGGGGTATGTCTTATTTCTCGCCGAAAATCCCCCTTGTATGGGGGGACACGCCCGACATAGCTGCACTGCTGCCCCGCTGCTGCTGCTGCCGCAGCGAGCGCAGTGCCCTCGAGGGACAGAAGGCGGGTCGAGGGCAGCGCGCCCTCCGGCCCCCTCGGTTCCCCGTGCGCGGCTCAATGGATGCCTTCGGCACCTCCCGTGCCGCCTCGCCGTCGGGCTCGCCGTCCTGGCTCGTGGCAGCCCCTCTCCACCGCTCCTCGCCCGACCTTCGCCTCCTTGCCTCCGCCCTTTCCCGCCGACGTGTGAGCTCTTCCTGGAGCCTCGAGACTGGGCGTCCACCTCCATCCCCCTCCCACCGCTCCTCGCCTGACCTTCGCCTCCTCGCCTCCGCCTCCTTCCCCGCCGACGTGTGAGCTCTTCCCGGAGCCCCGAGACTGGGCGTCCACCTCCATCGCTGCCCGCAGCTGCTCTCCCGACATCTGGTGGGAGCGCCCAATCCGCCATGATCCCCCCCCCACTATCGGTAGTGTGAGGTACGCGTCTGCCTCAGTGCCGCGTGAGTCCGAATGTGCACCCGTAGAGCCGCAAGGCTCGGGAAGTCGTCGCCACACGCTGGACATGCATAGCACACAGGGTCCTCAATTCTGTGGGTGACGCGGTGTCTACCTGCACGGCATCGTTTCTTTGTGAGCAAGTTCCTTACATGTTGCCTGGCTACTTCAAGGGCATTGACTTGTGACAGTCAGTACTTGGCACAGAGCTCTGTGTCCATGTGTCCCCCCTTCAGTAAACCACATATGGGCGTGCCGACCTCGAAGAGGAGGAGGAGGAGGGAGGGGGAGGAGGAGGAGGAGGAGGAGGAGGAGGAGGAGGAGGAGGAGGAGGAGGAGAAGGAGGAGGAGGAAGAGGAGGAGGAGGAGGAAGGATAGGCGAATGAGGAGAAGGAGGATGAGGAGGAGGAGGAGGAGGAGGAGGAGGAGGAGAGCGAACGTAAAGGTCAGAGGCCTCTTGGATGCCTCCCGGCCCGGAGGCCTCTTGGACCGTCCCGGGTGCCTCAGGGGAGCTTCTCGGGGGCATTTGTGGGGCATGTCTTGGGAGCCTCTTGGGAACCTTTTGGGAGCCTCCTGGGGCCTCCTGGGCACCTCCTGGGGCAATCCTGGGAGCCTTGGGGGCCGTCTTGGGGCCAGCTGGGAGGCTACCGATCAAAGCAGGGGCTGCCCTGAATTAGTCCCCTCCTGGGAGGCCAAATTGTCCCCGAACTAACGTAACTGTGCCTTCTCGCTCAGGCCACAAAAGAACCTTTGACACCTCGCGGCCCCTCCCCTCCAGACCCACGGGGAGGGGGTATGGGGGAGGGGTGAAGACACCCTCCCCGCCTGCAAGCTGTCTCGCTCACTCCCAGCCGCCCTCCCAACACACAAATAGCACTCGAGCCTCAGCATGTTCAGCGGTCGTCTATAGATGGACAGCTATGAGGAACCAATACAGAGCCCATGTGCGCGACGCTGGGGCGAAGCGCGCCACGCGCTCCAGGTGCGCCAGGCACCCCTGGGGCCCAAGCGTGCGAGGCACGCCTCGCGCGCCAGATGCGCCACGTGCTCCATGTGCGCCATGTGTGCCGCATGCTCCAGCCGCGCCCAGGTGCACCACGTCAGGCAGCACGCGCAGAGGGTGCCGGGTGCGCCGGCGCACGTGACAGCACACATCGGGAAACATGTCGGCCCCCACCATTTTTGTCGAAAGCCAGTGCACAATCGCGGAGGGGGGGCCATCATGGTGTCTGGTGGGCCTGCTCACAGCAGGCAATATACCAGCACCCCGTCGGTCCGCATCAAGCACCAATCGCGGGGTGGCCGCGCACGATCCAGATTCAGCCGCGAAGTGAATGTTGTTTTCTAACAGGGATGATGGCCTTGCGTGAAGCAGGCAATGTGAGGGCACCCCCGACGTCCTGGTCAAAAAAACATACAAAGTGCTCGCGGGGGCCGCGAGCATGACCCAAGATTTTGCCCCAAAGTGTCTGCAGCCATTCTGGCTCAAACCAGGGAGGTAAGTGGCCGCCCGAAGAAATCTGCCGCACTTCACCCCGGGCGGGAGCGCGGCAACCGATCAGGCTCATGAACAGCGCCTGCGATGTCAGACCGCAAGGCGTACGCCAGACTGATGGAACCATGCTGGTCGTCAAGAATTGCTTCCTGGAGGTAGTGGACGACATGTCTGGGCTCAGGCGTAGCAGGAGCGAAGGTGACGTTCGGATCTCAGCCGTGGGATGCCCCGCGCGCGTCGATGGCCGCATCTCGCATGCCCGTGGTCACGAGCCGCTCTCGGCCTTGGTCTCGGTCGCCTCTGATGGCCGCCGCTCCGGGGTGGTGTTCAGCGACGGCGGCCAGTACAGGAACAGTGGATGTTCCGATTTGGGACCGGGCAGCTCTCATTCTGCGAGCCGCAGCCCTGAACGCGGGCAAGAGCGTGAGCTCGTTGGGCACCAGGATGCAGGACGCGTGGACGGCAAGGAGGAGAAACACGCCGCCAGCATATGCGTACAGTGCCGCGACCAAGCGTCGAAGGAGGGCTGTGCGAGCGGGCGTGGGTGCCAGTTCTGCCACCCGCCACACTCGGTCAAGAAGCGCAGGATGCGGCCCTGCAGGGCAGCGAGGATGCAGATCAAGCAGCACATCGCGGCGCTGGGCCGCACGCCCAAGGCTGACGCCAGCGCCGCACGGGGAAGGACCGACAGCGGCGGATTCGCGGTGGTGGGCGCCGCGATCGGGTGCTATCAGCAGTATGCTGCCGCAGTCCAGAGAGCGAAACAGCGGGGCCAGTCGCAGGGCGGCGTTCTTTCATCCCGCCCGTGGCCGTCGTGACGAACCTGTCAGAGCGCGTGGTTCGTCGTGGCATTGCTGGGCGCGGCTGCAGGGGGAGATGTCTGCTGACGCGAGGGGTGTATTTTGTCACCGGCACGTCGGCAGTTTTCTCACATGAGGCTGCGTTGGTTGGGGCGCAGGCTTTTCGAGTGCAGTACGCCTGAATAGATTCGCCCCCCTCTCCTCCTCCTCCTCCTCCTCCTCCTCCTCCTCCTCCTCCTCCTCCTCCTCCTCCTCCTCCTCCTCCTCCTCCACCTCTCCTCCTCCTCCTCCCCTCCATCCTCCTCCACCTCCTCCTCCTCCCCCTCCTCCTCCTCCTCCTCCTCCTCCTCCTCCTCCTCCTCCTCCTCCTCCTCCTCCTCCTCCTCCTCCTCCTCCTCCTCCTCCTCCCGCGCCTCCTCCTCCTGCACCCGCGCCTCCTGCATGCCTATGCCTCGTCAAGCGTTTTCAAGTGTTACCGCCCCGTTGAGTGGGGCGCGGCTCATCTGGGCGTCCGATCGGACATATGTGCCATGCTTGGCCACGATTGTTCTTAGTGTGGACGCCTGGTACCAATCCGTATTTTTGGACCCACGCTGGACGTGCCTGATTGTATAGTCGGGCACGTCCAGCGTGGGTCCAAAAATCCTCCGATCTTCCATCGAAGGATTTTTTGGGCATCCTTCGATCGACGTCCACGTCCAACGTCTACGTCCAACGTATTTTTGGGCACCCTTCGATTTTTTTTTTCTGCATGGTCCTTCCCCATGTGGCCTGCCGCCCCCCCCCTGGTTGGCGAGCGCGCACTGGCCGTCAGGGCCGTCGGACGTGCCGGGCTGGCTCCCCTCCAGTCTGACCCACTCCTCCCCCCCCTCCTCCCCCTCCTCCTCCTCCTCCTCCTCCTCCTCGTTCTCCCTCCTCCTGCTCCTCCTCCTCCACCTCCTCCTCCTCCCCCTCCCTCCTCCTCCTCCTCCTCCTCCTCCTCCTCCTCCTCCTCCTCCTCCTCCTCCTCCTCCTCCTCCTACTCCTCCTCCTTGCTGCAAGCATTTAGTTTCGTGAGTCGGAAACAAGTGAAACAACAAGTGAATCGTTCGAGTTTCTATGTTTCCTCGTGCTTGTATGTTTCGAGCCATGCCGGCGCTTGGTTTTAATATCCATCGACTCTGCCACTTCAGCTGGGTCGACGAGTATGCGCCTCGTTGTGCAGTGCCTTGCGCACTCAGGTGCCAACACGTCTGCCGCGTGTGAGAAGTCTTGCACTGTTACTGGCATAATTTCTTGTATAGTGATTATGTGTGGGGACCTTGAGGGGGCACTAGCGCACCAGACGCTACGTTGGCCCAGTTCAGGCTCAAGCTTGCGGATGTATGGTCTCCCGCTGCGACTGCATTTGGAACTCACCTGCTGCGCTTCATGAGAAAAGCAGATTTTGCCACAAGGTGTGCTTCGCACTGGTTTTTGACAGGGATGCGGCGAGGGAGAGGTCGCACTGGTCCTGGTCGGCTGCCGGTCGCCTGGGCGATGGGGTGTTTATTAATCGGGAACACTGATGAACATTTCCATGGAGGTGAAGAAGGGGGTTGGAAGAGGAAACGTCCTAAACCACTCACGCCCTGAAGGGCTGGTGGGATGTCTCGGAGGTCTGCGCGGGCTTCTCAGATCGGCGCTGCCCCCCCCCTCCCTAGCGCCTCTGGCGCCGACCCTTGCGCATTCCGCCCGCCCGGGAGGGGGGCCCAGCGCCGATGCAAGACACTCGCGCGGAGCTCCCATCGGACGGGGCTCGGACGAGGATAAATTGTTCCAGGGCGTTCCAGAACGCTCTCACAGCGTTCCGGAACGCTCTGAGGAGGCCGCGGCGCCCGAGAGACCCTCCAGAGCCGCCGGAATTCAGAGATTCTATATATATATATATATACACCCGAATTTATCCTCGTCCTGGATTCGTCTTATCCCAGAAATCATGCTCATGCGGTGTGTTGTTCCTCCAGGTACGCGGACGGCGAGCCCCACTGCGGCGGCCCGCCCGCCCTGAGGCTCCAGGAGCTGGAGCGCGAGCGGCTGCGGCACTGGCGGGCCGCGGAGGCGCTGCAGGAGCAGCTGGGCCGGTGCCAGCAGGAGCTGGGCCAGAGCCGGCGGCGCGCCGAGGAGCTCGGCTACACCTAAGAGCAGCCGTTCTCGCTGGAGTGACCTCTGGTGCGGGCCTAACGGGGTCCCCCGATCGCCGAGCGCGAAGCGGCAGCAGCGGCTTGCGCGCCCGAGTTGGGCCACCCCGTGTCCCCTTGTTGAATCGCGCACCAAAGGTCAGTCTCGCCCAGGGTCACTCTTGCGTGTAGCCGAGGAGCTGGCGGGCGTGGCGGCGGACCTGGAGTCCCAGGCTCACCGCCAACCAAACCACCCCAACCCAACCCAAAGGCCCCGATTTGCCCTCCATGTCCAGTGGCGGGGGGTCGGGAAACATTGAAACAACACATCTGAAGCCCATACCCCCCAACCCGAAATTCGGGTCTTCGGGGTGGGTTGGAGTGTCTTGGTAGGTAGCCACAGGTGCAGGCCGAGCGCGAGGCGCGGGTGGTGGCCGGCGCGGCCGCCGCCGCCGAGCGGGACGCCGAGGCGCTGGCGGACCGAGCGGCCAGACAGCGCGAGGCCGATGACCTTCGGGCGGCGAACGCCGCCGAGGTCGCAGCTGCGCAGGCCGGTGCGGCGCGGGTGCGCGTGCAGCTGGCTGCGGCAGAGGACGCCGCCGCCGCCAGCGGCGCTGAGGCCGCTGAGGTGTGCCAGATGGCCCGGGAAACCAGCGCACAGCTCGCGGTCTGCAAGGGCGAGTGCCTCGCCTGGCAAGCTAGCGCGCGCCGGCACGAGGCCCGCGCCGAGCACGCGGCGGAGCTGCAGCTGCAGTTGCGGTCCTTGCAGGCAGAGAGGGCAGCCCGCGACGAGGAGGCGCGGGACCTGCGCGTGCAGCTGCAGTCTTTGCAGATGGTGGCCGCAGCCGTCAGGGTGCCGGACGGCAGCACCACTGAGACTGGTCCTGGGGGGGGCGCCGGCATTGCTTCCGACGTCACATCTTGGGGGCCGTTCGCCGAGGCGCTGGCAGACCGTGCGGCCATGCAGCGCGAGGCCGATGCCTTCTTCGAGGCGAACCGCGCCGAGGTCGCAGCTGCACAGGCCGATGCGGCGCGGGTCCGCGAGCAGTTGGCTGCGGCTGAGGACGCCGCCGCCGCCAGCGCTGCTGAGGCCTCCGAGATCTGCCAGATGGCCCAGGAGGCCAGCGCACAGCAGCGCCGTCAGCTCGCGGCATGCGAGGACGAGTGCCACGCCTGGCAAGCCAGCGCGCGCCTGCACCACGCCCGCGCCGAGCAGACGACGGAGCTGCAAGTGCAGCTGCGGTCCCTGCAGGCGGAGAGGGCAGCCCACGACGAGGAGGCGCGGGACCTGCGTTTGCAGCTACAGTCTTTGCAGATGGAGGCCGCAGCCGCCTGTGCGCTGGACGGCGGCACCGCCGAGCCCGGTCCACCTTGCGAGGGCGCCTCGTGGAGTGCCGTGGGCGTACGGGGTCGCGCCGGCTCGGTTGGCAGCGCGCGGCAGCGCGTGCTGAGCCCCGACGAGCTCCTCGCCTCTCCAGGCGCGCCCCTCTACAGGCGGCCGCCAGGCAGCGCCTCAAAGGCGGAGTGGCCTGAGCGGGACGCAGAGGCGCTGACAGACCGTGCGGCCATGCAGCGCGAGGCCGATGCCCTCTTCGAGGCGAACAGCGCCGAGGTCGCAGCTGCACAGGCCGATGCGGCGCGGTTCCGCGAGCAGTTGGCTGCGGCTGAGGACGCCGCCGCCGCCAGCGTTGCTGAGGCCTCCGAGATCTGCCAGATGGCCCAGGAGGCCAGCGCACAGCAGCGCCGTCAGCTCGCGGCATGCGAGGACGAGTGCCACGCCTGGCAAGCCAGCGCGCGCCTGCACCAGGCCCGCGCCGAGCAGACGATGGAGCTGCACATGCAGCTGCGGTCTCTGGAGCGGGTCCAGGCGGAGGCGCGGATGCGGCGGCTGCCCGCGGGGGTGCGCCTGGCGCGGTCTTGGGCGCGGCGCGAGGAGCGCATGATCCTCGCGATGTGGCACGTCGTTAGCAAGCACCGCCGGTGTGTGCAGTCGGTGGCCCTCCGCCAAGGCCACTCTCTGCGGCTCGGCATTGTGGCCCTCCGTGTGCTCTGGGCGTGGGCCCGCTCGGTGCGCCGCCCACGCATAGTGCGCACGAGCCGGTGGGGCATCCGCGAGCACTGGCGCGCCACCCGCCAGCTCATCGACGCCCTCCGGCGCCTCCTCGCGGCCTGGCGCGCGGCCTCCGCCGCCGCGCGCCAGCTGGGGCGGCTGCGATGGGTGGCCCCCGCCGACCTCGCGGAGGGCCACCGCCGAGCGCTGGTCCCCGAGCCCGTGCCGCCGTGGCCGCCGCCGGTCATCCGCGCCGTGCCGCTGGGCGCCGCGCCGCCGCCCGCCGCGCAGGGCGCGCAGGCCTGCGGGCGGCCGCCGGTGCTGCGCGCCGTGCCCGCGGGCGCCGAGGCGCCCTCGGGCAGGCAGGGGGGAGGCGAGGCCTGCGGGTGGCCGCCCTCGGGCAGGCAGGGGCCGCCGGGCGGGCCTGGCGACCAGGTGGGGCCTCGGTCGCGGTCGTCCTAGGGCGCGGTGGGCGGCGGCGGAAAGAGGCTCCGCAGCTGCAGCGTCGTCGTCGCCCTCGGCGCCACGCGTCGGCCCTCGGCGGCCCCTTCGAGGAGGAGGGGCGCGAGGAGGAGGAGGAGGAGGAGGAGGAGGAGGAGGAGGAGGAGGAGGAGGAGGAGGAGGAGGAGGAGGAGGAGGAGGAGGAGGAGGAGGAGGGAGGCGACGACGAGATTTGAGGAGACGTGGTCGGGGGCTGGAGGAGGAGGAGGAGGAGGAGGAGGAGGAGGAGGAGGAGGAGGAAGAGGAGAGGACTTGTAGCACGGCCGGCACGACTAAGCGCTGGCCCGATGGATAGAATCGCTGGTCGGATGAACGCTTCAAAAGCCAGGCCAGGTTCGCAAGTAAGCTTCGACCGCAGCCAGGGCTGCGGCCTGGGTCGTAGCTGGCCCCATGGCAGTCGAGCAAAGCCACAAGATATTCCCCCATTCACTTGAAGATTATGTGTGCCCCAGACATGCTCGGCATTGCTGGCGAAGCTTATGGAGGTTCTTTGAACCTGATGTCCGTGATTCCCTGCCGCTCGTGCCATGGCTCGCTTTAGCAATGCCGTCCGAACATCCGAGACGCCCCCGCAAATTCCTCGGTGTGTTGAAGATTTGGAGGTACAAGAGTGCCTGGGGATATTGTGGTTTCACGCTTCGCTGCAGGGAGTAACTACCCGCAAACAGGCAGGCATCAACGAACGGCGCGCTTTTTACGAGAGGCAGTCGATGGTCGGCATGCCCAAACATCGGTTGCAAGCTGGCTAGCCCGTAAAGCATGCTGCAGCTCAAAACCTCGGCGCCCATCAATTTAACCACAGATTCGCTGGCCCCGGTATGCGAACAGAGAATATTTCTGCCAGCCGTCCAACCCAGACGCCAAGACCATTTCACCGAAGGCAACATTAATTGTGATGATGGCCCGGCTTGCAAGACGTGCGGAAATATTCTGCGAAGTGCAGACATCCTAGTGATTGTTGTGTCCTAGGCTGACCTGCAACCATGAGAGCAATAATGCATGTATGTTTCTTGTTATTAGTTTTCGTTGTCGAGGCAGCATGTGTCCTGGAAGACATGAGCATGAGTTTCATTGCCTTGTCCCCTCCACCGTGTCACCGACAACGAACGAGCCTCCCAAGGCCAGCAGAGGCGCCCCTCACAGGCACCAGGAGCGCCGCGAGTGTGGCGGTGCTTGCGAAAGGCGAGCGTCTGGGAGCGTTGGTCTATCCCGCGTCTTGCTCTGGCCTGCACCAGAGCATGGCTGGCACAATCGGGATGTAGTGGTTCAAGTTGCTTGACTCGAGCAGCTTCAGGAATCTTCCTGAACACATCTAGGGTATCCCCCAGGTCTGGCTGAGGGCTCCAGACGCACCTTGGCTCTCGAATCAGAAAAAGCCCACAGGGTGACACGGGGTGTTGTTGGCAGGTTCAAGACCAGGCATTGGTGGATTATTCTTGATATATTAATGCAGATACCCATGTGCCTCCGAGTGCTCACATCCAATCATTGAGGCCGCTTAAACTGGCGCTCGAAAAACCCGACCGCGCTCTGTGCGAATTCCGTTTTGCGTTGACGGCGACGTTCGACAGTTTTGCAAGGTGGTCGTTCAGGGAGACCGCGGTTGGAGGCAGGGTGGCCCGAGCAAGCCCCCAGAGCAAAAAGAAAGCCGTAAGAAAGCCTGAAACATTTATGTAAGGCCCCCAGAGGCTCTCCAAGGAGGAGCATCCGCAAAAAGAGCTGAGGAGTATGGGGAGAATTCGCAGAGCAGGGCGAGAATGATGAAAAAGAAGCATGGAGCAAGGATGTCGAATAACATTATTATAACGGCGATGCCAGACAAGGCAACAAGGAGTTATCGCTAAATTGTCTGTTTGACCTTCCTGCCATTCCGCCTGCATACCAATATTCAAGGACCAAGGTGCATGGCGCGAAGCGTCAATGCAGTCTTGCATGCTTACATATATATACACACATACATAATCGTATTCATATATTTAAATAGGGCCTGGGACCCTGGAAAAAGCGCCCCCACCACCCCACCTAACGAATTTGGCCCACCCCGGGCCTCTCGGGCAACCCTCAAGACGACCCGGGAGAACCCCACGAGAGCCCTAAGACGGGCCCAACGGGCTCAGTCGTTCTGGCGCGCTCCCGAAACGACCCCAGAGAGCCCCAAGACGGTCCACGGCGACCCCAAAGAAGCCGTCATACCCTTCAAGATCGCTCGAAAACATCCCAAGAGGCCTCCAAGAGCTCTCCCAAGAAGGCCCTGAGAGGCAAAATTCATTGATTTTCGATTGGTTTTTTGTGACTTGGAAGGTTCTCCTCTTTTCGGCTTCCCGACGCTCCAAGACGGCGATCTTCTGAGCAGCCGGAGCCGCCTGAGAGGCTCGAAATTCGCCCCACGACCATCTGAAATGGCTTCCAGGCAGTCAAAGAGAGCACCAAGACGGCACAAGGTTCCAAAGACACCCTCCGAAGCATCCCAAATCGTGACCCGGTCGTTCAGGGAGACCGCGGTTGGAGGCAGGGTGGCCCCAACAAGCCCCCAGAGGCCCCCAGAAGACGCCCAGGAGGCTTCCAGAAGGCCTTAAGAAAGCCTGAAACATTTTTGTGAGCCCCCCAGAGGCTCTCCAAGGAGGCGCCTCCGCAAAAAGAGCTGAGGAGTATGGGGAGAATGCGCATGGTATGGCGAAAATGAGGAAATAGAGGCATGAAGGAAGGATACCGAATAACATGATTATAACGACAATGCCAGAAAAAGGCAACAAGGAGTTATCGCTAAATTGTCGGCTTGACTTTCCGGCCATTCCGCCGGCATACATATATTCAAGGACAAATGTGCATGGCGCGAAGGCGCGAAGCGCAAGTGCATTCTTGTATGTATGTGTGTACATACAGATATGCATGTATATATATATATATATATGTATATATGCTCGCCCCCCCCCCCTGTGATCATACATTTCGCCTTCTTTCTCATCCTCCTCGTCGTCGTCCTCCTCATCATCATCCTCATCGTCGTCGTCGTCGTCCTCCTCCTCCTCCTCATCCTCCCCCTTTTCCTCCCCTCCTCCTCCTCCTCCTCCTCTTCCTCCTCCTCCTGGTCATCATCATCATCATCCTCATCCTCCTCCTCCTTCTCCTCATCTTCCCCCTCTCCCTCCCCACCCTCTCCTTTCAACCTGTCTCCTCCCCACATGTTCATACACAAACCAAGTCTTCGACACTGCAAAGCACTTCCACGGCGCTACTCTGGAGGGGCATCCAAAAAAGGATGCCCCTCTGTGGCGGACGCGGGCCCAGGAGGGAACCCAAAAAACGGGTTCCCATCACTGTGCCCGAACACAAGGCCACATGGTCGGACGCCTGTTACGCAAGGACACCAGCAACGGCTCAGCATCAGTGATGATACCACACAACAAACCAAAACTTCGACACTGCAAAGCGCTTCCACGGCGCTACTCTGGAGGGCACCCGAAAAACGGATGCCCCTCCGTGGCGGACGCGGACCCAGGAGGGAACCCAAAAAACGGGTTCCCATCACTGTGCTCGAACACAAGGCCACATGGCCGCACGCTTGTTACGCAACGACACCAGCAACGCCTCAGCATCAGTGATGACACCACACCACAAACCAAGTCTTCGACACTGCAAAGCGCTTCCACGGCGCTACTTTGGAGGGGCATCCAAAAACGGATGCCCCTCTGTGGCGGACGCGTCGTCGCCACGCAGCTGAGCGCGGGCAGCAAGCGGCCAGCGCTGTCCAGTTATTAGAACCGCCCGACTTGAGAATTCGCACCGCCTCCTCGCTAGCAAATGTGCTTCCCATATGACATTCTACATGTTCCAGCTTTGTCGCAAGCAACACATGGAGATCTGTCACGTTTCCAGCTTTTCCAGCTACCCCCAGAGGTATCCTTAGCGAAAACCTTGTGTTTTCCAGCTTTTCCAGCTTTTCCCAGAGACTACCCTGGTGAAAAACCTCGTGTTTTCCAACTTTTCCAGCTTTTCCATCTTTTCCCAGAGATTACCCGGGTGAAAAACCTTATGTTTTCCAGCTTTTCCAGTTTTTCCCAGAGACTACCCTGGTGAAGAACCTTGTGTTTTCCAGCTTTTCCAGCTTTCCCCAGAGACTACACTGGTGAACAACTTTGTGTTTTCCAATTTTTCCAGCTTTTCCCAGAGACTACCCTGGTGAAAAACCTTGTGTTTTCCAGCTTTTTCAAGCTTTTCCCAGAGACTACCCTGGTGAAAAACATTCATCGGGGTAGTCTCTGGGAAAAGCTGGAAAAGCTGGAAAAGCTGGAAAACACAAGGTTTTTCACCAGGGTTGTCTTTGGGAAAAGCTGGAAAAGCTGGAAAACACAAGGCTTTTCACCAGGGCAATCTCTGGGAAAAGCTGGAAAAGTTGGAAAAGCTGGAAAACACAAGGTTTTTCACTAGGGTAGTCTCTGGGAAAAGCTGGAGAAGTTGGAAAAGCTGGAAAACACAAGGTTTTTCACCAGGGTAGTCTCTGGGAAAAGTTGGAAAAGCTGGAAAAGCTGGAAAACACAAGGTTTTTCACGAGGGTAATCTTTCGGAAAAGCTGGAAAAAGCTCAAACACAATCACAGAGAGCGTGAAAGACAAACGGTCGAAGACAGCAGCAGACAATCACAGAGAGCGCGAGAGACAAACGCAAAGAGAGAACAACAAAACGAGAGAGAGGGATAGAGCGAGAGAGAAGGAGAGAGGGAGAGAGCGAACACGGAAGACGGATATGTATGATCATAGGGGGGGCGACCATATATATGTATAGACACCTATATAAATGTATATATATATATATACACACGTGAGGCCAGCGCCTTCTAAGAAGCAGCCTCCTGAGAAGCCTTCCCCCATCCCCCAGTGCCCCCTGTCTGGGGAAACGTGCGGTTCTAGTAGGCCAGAGCTCGGGTTTGTTGGCGCGTTCTGACGAGCGCGCCCTGGAATTTGTCGATATGGTTGTCGTGGGTTTGCAGCGAGAGCTCGCTCGCGTCAAATTTCAGACCAGGCCTCGTCATTTTCTTGATGGCCCCGTCAGTCCAACCAGGGTCCCGCGAACCCGAGTCTTACAATCAAGCTACATAGAAAGATAGGGAACCTTTCCAATGGTACCCTTGCATCCTGGCCTCCTCGGTCCATCCTTGACCGCTTTTGCTGGTCGCGCCCCGCCCGCGAAGTGTCGACACGGTCTTCCAAGGCCCTTGCACCCTTATCCTTTATCGTGAGTCCTCGTGATGCCTTGTCGACTGTGCGCCTCGCCGGTGGAAGGAGGTTCTTCTGTCCCAGGCCCGATCGCACCGCTGCCGCAGCATGGCTGCGCAGTGCAGTGTCTCCTGGCAGCCAGCGAGGGCCCCGAGGGCTGGCCCCGAAGGGAGTCCAGAAGCGTAAGGGCTGGGCTCGATCCGCCCCCCCCTGGGCAGGAGGACCTGCTCAGCATGTGGTCCCCGATGATGCCAGGCGCACCCAGCTGGTCGTCGTCGTCGTCGTCGTCGTTTTCGTCCCTCGGCTTACCCCGCCCCGATCCTTCCGCCCTCCCCATTGCCTCCCCGTCCCCGCCTCCCCTCACGGAGGGCAGTTCGCTGGGAAAGGGCTCGGACGGAGAATTCTCCAGAGACGGGGTTCGGTCGGGGAAGGAGGAGGATGCCGCTGCCATCGCTGTGCCGCTGCCGTCGCTGCAGTTATTTGTCGTGGCTATCTTCGCCATCATCCCAGTGGGGCTTCGGCCGCGTGCTCTAAAGCCGTGAAGCAACGAAGAGGAGGCCTTTGTCTGTTGGTACGGCCGCCGCAGCTTGCTGCCTCTTCGTGTGCGTCACTTCTCCGTATCGCGGCTGCTGCAGCAGCAGTTGCTGTTGTGGCGGTTGTTGCCTGCTTCGCGGCATCGCCCACTGCACCCAGACACAGCAGGCGCAGCTTGACGCACTCGCAGAGCAGTGCGCAGACGAGGACGACGATCGCATCTCAGTCGGAGCCGGCTCTGCGCGTGTCGGGTGATGTTGACCTGCACACGCAGCAGGAGACAGGCGTGCAACCTCTACCCCCTAACAAACGGGCAAGCGTGCGCACGAGTTTGCGGATGACGCGCGCCACAAGGAGGTGGAGGAAGAGGAGGAGGAGCAGGAGGAGCAGGAGGAGGACAGGGAGGTAAGAGCGGCAGCAGCAGCAGCAGAAGGCTGGAGGCGAGGGGGCTCGGTGGAGGGGCGGCTCGGACACAGAGAGGCACCTGCAGTCTGGGCACCGAGACGTGGAGCGGATCCTGCTCCTGAGGGGCTCGCTGTTCCTCGGGTCCCTGCGTGGCTGCTCCTCCGGCGCCCCCCGTGCACCCAGGGGCGCGTGGAGCCAGGCATCGGCGTCGCTCCCTCTCTGCCGTCCAGCGTGCCCTGTGGTAGGAGCCCGACTGCACACCAGGCCCACGCCTGGGCAGGGCCACCGGGGCCCCAGGAAGGCGTCGCAGATTGAGGCGGAGGAGGACGAGGAAGAAGAGGAGCGACGACGATCCTTCTCCGCCTTCCGGGAAGCTTTCGAAGCCTCCCCCGAAGGCACAACTGCTCAGAAGGCGCGAGGGCTTCCGAGAAGGCCCGCCGCCTTCTGAGAAGGCCTTCTCCCTCTCATCTCTCCCCCTCGCCCGCCGCCAAGTCAAGACGCTGAGATAGAGACCGCCTTGGGTTCAGGAGGGGCTGCGGTTCTCGGGCCGCTCCCGACGTCTGGGTCGGGGAATCTCTTCGTGGCCGAGGCTGGCCGGGGCCAGAAAAGCCAACATTCGCTCCCCAGATTTGCAGGGGAACAAAAAGTTACATAAACATAAAAACTCAGAGGTTCGCGCGGATTTCTCGGATCGGCGCTGGGGCCCCCCGGCGGCGCCTCTGGCGCCGCCCGTGGCGCGCTCCGCGCGCCAGGGAGGGGGGTCCAGCGCCGATCCGAGAAATCCGCACGGACCTCCGAAGTTTTTATGTTTATGTCACTTTTTGTGACCCTAATTTGGCCCCCCCCTATGGCAGCGCGAGATCTGTATGCGCAGACACTCTCCATCTCCTTGCACGCCGGTTTGCCAGCATGGTCCCTTCTCGCCCCGGGGTCCCGTCCCTCCCTTCCTGCTCACGTCCCTCGTGCGATAGAGATCTGGGCAGTCTTTTCAGCAGCCCTCTGGGCTTCGACCTGTTTTCTGTGCAATCTCAAAAAAAACGTAGGATAGGTTGGTGCGACGCTGGCGCGCAGGCGACGCCAGCGAAGGCGTTCCAGGTTGAATTCTGCGGCGCGGAAGCACCGTTGGACGCGGCAACGCCGCTGGACCTGGTGGTGTCCAACCCTGAACAATCCGGGGCCGCGATCGGTTCAAGTTTGACCGATCGACGCGGTGTCAAAAATCTTGTGCGCGCGCCACCGCTGCGCGAACCCACCGTGCCCTCCCTCTCCGCACCGGGGGGGCCCAGAGCGGCGCGGAGCTCGGGCGGGCAGCGCCCGCGCGCCTCCCCCCGCGGCGGCCGAGGCGAGACCCTGTCCGCGCACGGTTCCGCCGGCACGGGCCAGTGGTCCTGAGGCGGGGGCGCTGCCGCTCGAGCGGCCGTCCGCGCGGGCCTTCTGCGGCGCGCCGCGCCGCGGCCGCCCGCGCGGCCGCCCCGTGGCCATGCGCCGCTGCCGCGGGCTCGGGCGTTGCGCAGTTCGGGGGGGGCGATGAATGGGGGCGGTGGTCGGAGGAGGAAAAGGTACCCACACTGCTATCTTCGCCCCGTTTTTCCCTGTTTGGCCTCCCCTCGGAGGCCCTCGTCGACACCGTTCGAGTCGCCTCGAAACCCTGGCCAGAACGCGCCCAGGGAGAGGTCCGGGGAGCAGCGGTATCGGTACTTCTTGGCTCCCCCTGGTGAATAGATATAGAGGTGCACCTTTTCCGCACCTCGGGGGCCCGGCAGGGGCTCCCTCGGGCCCCAAAAACGAAGCACAACGGGTGCACGTTTTTTTTCTTTCGCCCCCCCGTCTATGGCCCCCCTCCCCGTCGAGCAGCGCCCACGCGGGGCTCCCCACGAGGCACCCCAGAGGTGGACAGGCCTCGCGCCAGTTGCGCGGTCCGCGCTCCGCGGCCGGCTTTTGTGACGAACGCACCCTCTTGTTGAATTCGGTGCGCCGCGGTACCTTCCCTGGCGCAGAAACAGCCCCTTCTCATCCATTCTCGGCGCCGGCAGGGACGACGACGACGACGACGACGACGACGACGACAACAATGACCACCGCCCCAGAGCACCACAGTCATTCGTTGTTCAGTTGTGTTCGAGCTTCAATCGACTGCTAAGCAAGACTGCTTTGAACTAGCATCTCATACGCATCTACGCCAAAGGGTTCTTAAGTGTTCTCAAATGGTACAACATGTACACATATGCTTTGAAACGTTTGAACAGCGATGTGACGTCCACTACGCCCAAAGAGCAACGGTGGAATTCATTTCGGGCCGGGGCGGGGAATCTACGTTGCGATGATGCGCTCTTGCGTCGCAGCGGTTGCGAACTGCATGATGCGCGTCGGTGAAAGTATGATTACATTTGTTTTCGATTGTGGGTGGCGCAGTTTGCTTGACTGCTCATCGTTTTTGGCATGCGTGTCAAAGCCACGGCGGACACCGAAATCCAGATTCATCAGTTGTCTTTTGCGCCCGAGAGCTTGTTTTAGGATGTTGCGGGCCGCTCGCCCCCAATACCTCGAAGTTGATGGCGAGATGTTGTTGGCCGAACAGGCGTTCTTCAGCTCCGTGATCCGGGCCTCGTGTGGTCAGGGTCTGATTGCGCTCAATCGGGGGAGAACCAATGCGTCGACAAGCCTGGTGAAGTACACGCAGGTGCTGGCTCCGCTACTCCGCTCTGCCCCTTTTGGATTTCCGACGCCAGGTAGTCTTCGGGGTGTATCCGTCGCCCCTGATGTTCGCCACGGGGTTTTCGACACGAGTGAGACAGGCCGCTAGGCAACGGCCAACAACGCCGCCGCTATCTTCATGAGGACGCGCATGACGTCTACAACCTTGACAAGGTTGACCCGGCACCTGATTTGAAGGACCTCACGGACCTGATCAACCCGAAGCCTCCAGGGGAAAAAGGCAGTGCCGAGCAAGCGCAGACAGCAACATCACGACCCACAACACCGACGCCTGCAACCGTGCAAATTTTCGCAACCTTCGATTCGGAGCCAGAGGACGAGGAACCGATTTCGGAGTCGGGCGCGGACTCGGTCAAATTCGCCCCAATTTCGTGCCAACGCCTTCTTTGCGTTGAAACTCTCAAAGCCCCTTGCGCCAAGAAAGGCGAGCACAAGAAAAGTACAGTGGGAGGAGATGTTCACGAGAGTGGCCTCGTTCAAGAGCGTCGCCGCATCTCGGGAAGGCGTCGCTGCGCGATGGCCGCGGCGACAACTGTTGCGCCATTCGCTGCAATCGCCGCGGGGAGACTTCGGCCTCAGCGCCAGCAGTCCCAGTCGATGGGGGCCCAACGGCCGAGGGTGCCAAACCGAAGAGGAAAATGCCTCAGAGAGCCCCGCAGGAGGTGTTCCCACTCCTCCTCCCTCCGCCTCCTCCTCATCCTTCTCCTCCCCCTCCCCCTCCTCCTCAGAGGACCGCCCCCCCAATCGAGGTGGAGCATCGCGCGAAGGGCCAGAAGGAGTCACGCATTCTTCAGAGCATATCAAAGCGTGGGCTCGCGGTCTCGGCGGAGGAGAAAACAGCGCCAGCGATTTTGCCATCGCGAGCACCATCGCTGGGAATATTAAGGCATCAGAAGCCACTGCCATCGCGGAGGCGAGACAGCCTGCTCTTGACATGTCGAAGCCGAGTAGAAACATAAGCGTTCAATGTTATGTGAGGCGCCAGCGGGGCTGGGGCGTCAGTCAGCGCCCAGAGACGGATGTGGCATAGCAGTGCTTCAGAAGCAAAGTTACGAAACATGATCACCGACATCACCCTCGCCATCGCAAGCTCGCGGGTGGCATCGCCATTGTAAGCGTTGTCGCCACCGCCACCGCTGCAGTCGTCAGCATCGCCATCAAGGCCGCCATCGCCGACGCCCATCGGCAGCGTCTTCATCGAGAGCTGCCTCGAAGAACTGCGCAGAAAGGGTTTGTCAAATACCCCCCCCTCCCCTTGAAGCGCATGTGCCTTATTCTGCAGCTACACAGCGCCGGTTGTGTTCGCGCGCCCTGGCTTGACCAGGCCCCCGCGGCCTTCGAACCGAACTCCTTCTTGCCACCTCCTATCATGATCGAGGTCTGTCTTCGTTCCGTGGCCGCGCGCGCCCAAACCTGTCGGGGCTCGCGCCGCAGCGACGCTGACCGTCGGCTTCGCCGCCAGACGCCCCCCCCCCAGGCCCAGGCCGCCCGATGGCGAATAACATCGCGGGCGCGCACGGCGGCGCCATTCGCCCGAAGGAGGAGGCCCCGCCCCCCGCGCCCGCGGCAAGCAAGCAAACTCCGCCGACGAAGGCCCCCAGTCTCGCGACGGCGGCCAAATCGAAAGCTCAGAAGGCTGAAGCGACGACCGAGCCCGTGGAACTACGGGCCGCAATTGACGCAACGGCAACCTGCTCCTCAGCGGATCAACAGGGAGTGATGGAGGAGCCCCCCCAGCTCACGCGCTCGGCCTTTGCGGGCCACAACGCGAGCCTTCGGGGCGCGGGCACGCGCCGCTTTCGCGGGGCAAGAGTCGGCACGGCAAGCCCCACTACAAGTTGAATGTGCGCGGCCAGGGGGCGCAGGATAGGTGGGGTGCGGTTGGAGCTCTCGAGGCGACGAACCCACTTGAGTTCGACGCCGTCGTCGGCAGGATAATCGGCGAGGGGTTTCGAGGAGACGCGCTCGCGCATGCGCCGCACCGCAACCAGCGACAAGAGCCCCGCTGAGAAGAAGGCCGAGGACAAGGAGGGGCGCGATGTCTTGATGGCCCAGCTCAAGGCTTAGACGATCGAGTCGAGGCCTCGTGAGAACCTGCCCGCCCATTCAGGGGCCTCTTGGCCACGGAACTTGCAAGTTCGCCGAGTGCACGGGGCGGGCGCGACAAGCGAGCTCGCCGAGGACAGCGACGCCGTCGACTCCCGCGCTCCCCGGCATTGTGTCGCGGAGGCCGCATGCGCCGTCGGTGCGCGGTTCATTGCGCGGCAGTTTGCGCTGGCCTGCCTCGCGTTGAGTGGGCCCCCGGCGCTGATGGACCGCATTCTCTCCATGTAGGGCGGGGGCGACTTGGCGAAGACGCACCGGCCCCCCGAGAAGGATGGGGGCACCATCGCGCCCGCTCGCAAGGCCCATTCGGCGCTGGACAAGCAGAAGCGCGAGCCCCAGGCCCTCATCAGTCGCAGCTCGGGCCACATCAACGCCAAAGGCTTCATTTTCGAGAAGGACCGCGGAGATTTCATTGCGATGGGCGATTTCGAGGACAAGGCGTTGATGAGCGCGGAGGCCAAGCGCTTCCAGGGAGAGGCCCTGCTCGACGCCGAGCCTGCGGAAGCTGCGAAGGCGACTGAAGCCACCAAGAACTACGTGAAGACCGCCCTGAAGATTGCCGCAGCCATGAAGCCGTAGTTCAAGGTCTGAGTCCAATCTGACCACGCTCGTGCTGAATGTCTGTTTTGCTTTTAATGCGCTGGGAATTGAGGCTCGGCAGCCAGCGAGCGACGAAAACCTGAGGCTCGCCAGCCAGCGAGCGACGAAAATATGAACCCAGATTCCAGGTTTCAAATTTGGTGCTGCATGTTATATATTGAATTTACACCACCAGATCTGAAGACTGAAATCTGTATTCAGATGTTCTGAATTTCAGACGTTCTGCTTCGAATTGCCCGGCTCGCACCCCGACGAAGGAGGAGGAGGAGGAGGAGGAGGAGGAGGAGGAGTAGAACGACGACGACGACGACGACAAAGACGACGGTGACGAAGGGGAGAGGAGGGCAAGGAGTGAGGGGGCTTGGTTGAGCTCCTCCGAGAGACATGCGAGCCTCTATTCGGCCGTCCCCGTTCCCCCCGGGCGAGGCGTCGCTCATTTTTTTTCGGATAACGCTTTCAGACGCTAGACCTTGGTCGCCCTGTGCCCCGCCATATTTGGCCCCCCGCTGGGTTTCGAAAGACTGCCCCGCCAGATTTCGCTCCCCGAGCTTGAACCCTCCCTTTTCCTACCTCCCTTTTTCCCCTCCCTGCATTTTGTGGCAACGCAACGTATTGCAAACGCAACGCAACGCAACGCAACGCAACATGATGCAACGCAACGCACTGCACCGCAATACAATGCAAAGTAATTGAATTCAACCGGATGCAACGAAACACAACGCAAAGCGACGCAATTCGATGCAATACTATGCAACACGATGCAATGCACTGCGCTGTAGCGGAATGTGAGTCTCGTCGCGTGGCAGCGCCGCGGGGCCGAAACAATCAGATCCCATTCCACTCGCCACGTGGCAACGCTTTGGCGGGCGACCACATACTATTCCACTCACTCATCACGTGGCAGCGCTGCGGGGGCTGAGAAAAATACTAGTCCAGTCGATTCGCCACGTGGCACCGCCTGGCGGGGGCGG